CCTTCCACCTCAGCCTTCCAAGTAACTGGAACTACAGGCGTGTGCTACCATGCCTGGCTCATTTTTTTGATTTATTGTAGAGATAAGGTCTTGCCAAGTTGCCTAGGGTGGTCACGAACCCGTGGGCTTAGGCAATCCACTCTCCTCAGCCTCCCAAAGCACGGGATTACAGGCTGAGCCACTGAGCCCGGCTAGACTTAGCATTATTTTAAACATGAGCTCTTTTTATATTTCTTGAAAATATCTTTATGCAGGTGCTTTTGCCTTTCACGTCAATTTGTATCTTTTATCAGTTTAACTATATACAGTCAAATCTATTAATCTATAAAATGCATCAGTAATAGAAAAATATCGTGTTTGAGACTTTGCATTTGTGGCTTGGTGGCTCTGGTTCTCATTCCCTTGATCTCTGAGCAGTAAGCAAAGCAGTGACCTGGGAATAGGGTTAAGTGGTGATTTGTGATGTGTTGACTTTCGTGGCTTCTCCAACACAGCCACAGAAATTATCTAGTAAGTTTATTCATCCTGGTGAGCTTTCCTCTGCTAATGTCTGAATTTTAAGCTTTTTAATTTGAAAAACTTAAGAATAAAAAGTTACATTCAATAAATATTGAAATTCCCAAAGTCTCCATTAAAGGACACTTGCACACCTTCCTAATCTAGCAACGCCTTTCCTGCCTACCTGCCAAATGTGGCCCACGTTGACCTTGTCCCCGCCTCACTTTCTCCTTCCTCCCCTGTCTGCTTGAGCATCCTAGGGCCACATCAGAGTCCTCTGCTTTGTCACTTCTGTTATTTTCCTCTTCTTTGACAGTGAAAGCCGTCCAGCATCTCCCCACAGTCACCCTGAAGCCTTTGGAAGGGGTGGATGGCAGCGAGGAGTCACCCTCCACCAGCAGCGGGGGACAGGCCAGCCTCCCTTCAGCTCCGTCCCTTGCCTTTGTCAAAGGGCAGTGCATGCTCATCTCCCGCGCCCGCTTCGAGGCAGACATCAGTTATTCAGAGAACCTGATTGCGCTGTTTAAACAGATGGATTCCAGAAAATATGGCAAGTACTTGGTCTCTGTCCGATTCCCAGAATGTATAGTGGTCTGTGATCTCAGTTTTTCTCCATCTTGAATATTCAAAAATGACTTCCTTGGTAGAATCTTCCTGTTCTCCTCTTACTATAGAAGGGTGACATCTAAATTATTCCAGTTAGTGAGCACATAGTGGGGACTGTTTTGTCATTAAGGCCTCTCAAAGAGGACACCCCCCCAATTTTCCCCAGTTACCTGGCCAATGTCTTCTTGGTAGAAGCAGGTAAAAATTCCTGCTTTAGCCATTTAACCCATTTGTTGTGTTTGTTTTTTTTAGAGATAGGGTCTCACTCTGTCACCCAGGTTGGAGTGCAGTGGCGCAATCATAGTTAATTGCAACCTTGACCTTCTGAACTCAAGTGATTCTCCCATCTCAGCCTCCAAAGTAGCTGGGCCTACAAGCATGTGCCACCATGCCTAGCTAATTTTTATTTTTTGCAAAGACATGGTGTTGCTCTATTGCTCAGGCTGGTCTTGAACTCCTGGCCTGAAAGATCCTTCCACTTTGACCTCCCAAAGCTCTGGGATTACAGGGATGAGCCACTGCCCCTGGCCCCATCAGTTTTTATTTTGGCCTTTGCAGAGCAGAAAAACAGGTGGTTGCCATAAAAATAAAGGCCTTCATCTACATAAATTTAGACAGTGGTTTTCCAACTTGAGCATGCACAGGAACCACCTGGAGGAGTTAAAACAGATCACTGGGCCCCACTTCCGGAGTTTCTGATTCTGTAGCTCTAGGCTAGAAGCAAAAATTTGCATTTCTCACATGCTACTGCTGGTTACATACCACTGTGCTTCTCCACTCTGGCGGCCCATCGGCATCACTGGACTAATTCAAAAACATGGGTGCCTGGTTCTTACCCAGAGATGCTGGTTCATTTGGTCTAAGGTGAGCCTGGGCATTAGTATACTTAAAAATCTTGAGGTGAGCCAAATTATTAGCCAGGTTTCAAAACCACTGGCAAGCTGGGCTCAGTGGCTCAGCCTGTAATCCCGTGCTTTGGGAGGCAGAAGTGAGTGGATTGCCTGAGCCTGCGGGTCGAGACCCGCCCGGGCCACTTTGTGAGACCTTATCTCTACAATAAATCAAAAAATGAGCCGGGCGTGGTAGCGCGCGCCTGTAGTTCCAGCTTCTTGGAAGGCTGAGGCAGAAGGA